AAATATTCTCCTTGTTTTTGTTCTTTTTCTGTTTGGTTAAAACGTTAATAATTTTTTTTTACAAAAAATGAGTTTAAAAAAAAGTGGGGTTTTTGTCCCATAAATTTTGGGGGCGGGGGCGGGAACCGGGGGGAAGGGCCGGGGGGGCGGGGCCCCCCCCCCCCCCCCTTTCAGACCTGCCGCTTGTTTGAGACTGTTATCTTACATCGACAGGATCGTATATCACTTTTAAACTAGCTGATTTTTTTTTTAAAATGAAACGCTCATTGTATGATTTTTGCCACTAAACTAAATTCCAGGAATGTTAAAAAATGTAATTGTTTTGGGGTACCTTATTACCACAAAGTTCGCCTCTGCTTGCAAAGCAGTATTTCCCTCGCCAACTGCGACCGGCGTTCACAGATTGAGAAACAACTGGTCATCTATGCTTTCTCAGCTGGTCGACGATTATACATTCTTCACGAGTAGAATTCAAGTACTCGGAGAGGGCCCAAGGAGTATTTATAAGGTGCAACCGTGACTGGGGGGAGGAGGTGTGGGGGGAAAGTAATTTGCCACGAAAAAGTTCAACAGTTCTTTCTGAAAGAAAAGGGTCCTTTTAAATACCCAATCGCAGACCTAACCTTTCATATACTTAAATTCGCGAACCCCCGACCCGTTTAAAAATTATAGGAGGTAGCCCCGGAATGCATCATAAAGTAAACATTGTAACTCTCTTTTCTTTCAGCAAGCGGTAGGGAAGCTGACGGATCTGACGATGATTTTCACAAAAGAAATCTGTTACAACTTGGCGTTTCACAAAGTAGTTCATGTTCCGGTATGTCCCAAACTCTGAGTGAAGGCTGTTCAATCGGTGACGACTGTAGCACGATTACGTGCGATATGAATTTCGTTGAGACGCCAATCACATTCAAGCTAAAGGTAACAATTGTCATGCTATGGAATAGTAATAAACGACAGCAGTAATTCATCTGAGTCCTTTATGAAAGAACTTCAAAAAATAAAAGAGTCCAGAGAAAGTAGATACCTTTTTCGGGCTAATTATTATTACTATTTTTAAACCTTTAGCACTGAATATAGTCATCACGGCCAGAATAATTCAAGCGCCATAAAACGTCTTGATTTCACACTAACATTGGTGTTACTGAGAGACCTTTAGATTCCAGAACGAGAAAGACTACGAGTGCGAGATTTTACTTAAAAATTTTTCGCGTAGTTTTTGATAAAATAGACACCCCGAAAAGCTTCATGAGGTTATACTTCTTGTCACCAGAATAGGTGGCATGCAGTGATTTCTTTATTGAAGGAGGTTAATTCCTCACCGGTCCCGATCGCAAAATGATAAAACTTCTAACATTTGACAACTTGTTTCCTGCAATACGACATTCTTGCTGCTAACTCTCGTAATAGAATGACGACGGCTATCACGTTTAAGCTGACTCACTGCGTAAGCGCGCACTACATAGTTTAAAAGTATTGAAAAAATCTTGTACTCGTAATCGAACTCATTCTAGAATCTAGCTTAGGTCTCTTCTACAGTCAAACTAAACAACGAGTGTATTACAGTCGAATTGAGCAGGATCTTAATTTTTCGCCGCGGAAGAGCAATAAAGGGTATATATTTCTCTCTTTTCACTAGGTGAATAAATGTGATGACCCCGTCTCGGTAACTGCCTTGCTAGATGTCCCGGATCTCCAGAATGTCAAGTGGTCTCATACGTACAACAGTGACGATATCGTTAAAGTGCCCGGATTTATTACATTTTTGCCTTCTATCTTGTTTGCTGACGTGTATGTACAAGTTAAACTCAAAAGTAATGAGGACAGACTGTATCTTGAGGTAAATACTTCCTGTAAATTGAAATGCGTTTAATCTTTAGCAGTGGCAGTGTGAACTACACACTTCATCGGATGGGTCACTGCGGTAAGCCCAAAAGTGGAGTAACAGTGCGCTTCAGCCAGTGGCGCCTAGCTTGTAAACTGACGTCTGAGCTTGCTGTCAGTAAATAAAGGAAAATGGGCATATGTTTCTTCCCTTTCAAACACGACTTGACGTTTTATGACATGATATTGCATTATGTTCTTTATTTTAACAGGTAAACCTTCTGGCCGGTAAACCATTTTTAGATAAACATCAGGATTATCCCGTAAATGTCACTGTCATCGAGGGAGACTTGCCCATTTCAAATGACCATTGTGGTAAGTTAATTTATCATATTATGATA